ACGGTCTCCCTTCCGTTACGCGAATCATCACCCCAACTAAATAAAAACCATGCGATCTTTTCAAAATCACATGTGGAATATACAGATTGCTACGGCATAGAAGAGAAACTTGTCTCGATAGACCAGTTAGTTAGTTGAATTAATTCAATGGCGTTATGGTTGAGATAAATACATTCAAATTTAGTAGGTTGGATGGGGTGAGCCATTCGGTGGTGAAATAGTTAACTAGTTGACTATTTATTTCTAAGCTCATCTTTTTCACAGCTTGCTTCACCACCAAACCCATCGTCCGCTTGGAGATGGGGCCAGAAAGAACTCGTGCGAAGTTTCACTTCATCATAGTTTTTCTAATGTGGCGGCCTTAGGAATTCCTGCCTGCACACTCACTTCGAGATGCCACTGTGGTAGACCCAGTCGAGGTACTGGGATAATCATACAAGGGGGTCGAAAGGTTCCTTGCTCATCGGTAAGAAACTCTTCATAAGCCCTCCATATTGGCGTCTCCGTGACTGAGAAGTCCTGACAGAACATTGTTACCATGACCAGATTTCTCACAGTCGCTCCAGCCTCCGCCAAGCAGATCTTAATATTGTTGAAGACTAATCGGGCCTGATCTTCAAAGTCGGCAGGTGTATGTCCTTCCTTGGTCAATGCAACTTGGCCAGCAGTATAAATAAGCCTGGCAGGGAGATCAAGGACGGCGGCGTTGGAAAAATTGTAAGATGTGAAGTCCGGGAGACTCGCGGGGTTGAGGAACTTGACTGAGTCGGACATGGTGGAGAGATAATGATCTAATGGTACTAATTAGCAAGAATTCAAATTAAGCCTGCCTTTGAAGATCAAGAACGGACCTAGATTTGTAGCTCAATTTGAATCGAGGTGATGGAGGAACGTAAAGTCGGTTTGGGGAATTGCCAGTGACTTTATAGTAGTTGTGGAATGCTTACTAGGAATATGAGTAAAATCCTTCACACTCAGGAAGTGCCGATTTTGGTTGTCGGATAATAGAGAAAGCCGAGTAGATCAGTAGTGGGTTTAGAGGCTCCGGTCCTTTCAAAGTTGTGTCTAATGCGGAGCTGATATGGTGATAAGCGCGGTTAGCCGATTTTAGATTCATGAGGCGTAGCTCATCAAATAACGGAATTAATTCACAAGCGAGTCGATCAGCCAATGCGAAACGCGTCAACTATTTAACAACTAGTTCTTTAACCCACCATACCACCAATTCACACCAGAAGCTCTAGAGATCAAGCAGAGCAAGGTTGTGATGGACTGGTCTGAACGAGATCGATATTTGCACTCTTTGAATCAGGGAAGCATCTGATTGGTTAAACGAGGACTCTACAAACATGTCGATTTGGATCCTCTTCCCTTTCTCTTCTCTTCTTTTCTTCTTCCCTTCGCCTCTGAGTTTTAGTTGAATAGACTTATTTGATTTAGCTTGCCTTGTCACAGAGATGGTAGGATATATATAAGCTATTTAGGCTATTAAGAATCAAGGTATCTCTCCAATTCGTGACACAGCACGCTATTTTAACGTACTAGTTATTCTCTTCCTTACTAAACAGCCTTACCGGCCTCAAAAATTGCTCCGAATCTTGCGCTAATAAATAAATTGACAGATGTTGAATTTCCTCTCCTTAAAAATGTAGTCTCTCTATTGATTCTTGTACGGGCCGCCGGGGTGGGGAAGGCAATAGCTAGATCAATTAGGAAGAACATTGAGCCAACGTGTTGGCGGTATAAGGACAAGGAGTAGAGTGGAAAGACTGTATTGATAGACTAACAGTAGACTGGGGGAGGAAGAGAGAGAGAGAGAGCAAGGAGGTAACTACCTAAGTGCGCCCATGCCAGCTCTGTCTCCCGTGTGCCTTGCATGATATTCCGTACAGTGACTTCTCATTCTTTTTTATCTCCTCTTCATAGTTGACGGAATCTCATCTCCCTTCACATTATCACTGTTTATGTGCCCCCTCAAGCGATGAGCGTGTTTGGCTTATCTAGATACTCGACCCCGCAGGCGTCGGTCGACTTACATATTTAGGGAGACTGAGTAAGGGTAATTTTAGTTTACGGTGGCAAGATCCGAGTCGAGGATGACAATATGTTAAGTCAATGCTTTGCATGACCTTGCTAGATCACCCTAATTCCGTACCCCGCGATATTGCAACACGTTAAGAGTTTTCGCTGAATTTCAATACATATGTAGCTTTGTTTTAGTCTTATTCCAAGTATATCTGGTACAAGCAGACTATCAAATGTAGATAATTGGGTATAGTCGAGAAGTGATAATTTTGGAGGAAGTTCGGTTTTGGACCAGTATCTCCGCTATGCCTGCACCATGCAGGCACCTGTGTCCCGGGCTAAATTAGCCCACAATTCCAGCTAGTCTCAGCTCTATGATTTAGCTCTATATATCCTTCTGAAACTGAAACGTATACCCACAAAGTACGGATGTGAGTGACCTCAAATCGCGCTATGAAGTCGTCACGGTGGTATGGGACCTACCCAGAGCCAAGTAAGCGGAAGGGAGACGTATGTGCTACGCTTCTTCTATTGGGTTTCTACTATCTTATTTTTGAATAAACCGACTCGCGCATAGCTGAAGAGCACTGATCTGTTGTCATGTTAAAGCTAACTGAACCACTTGATGTGGTCAAATATTGTAGACATCTGTGGGGTTGGAGCAGAATAGAACCCGAAGTTTCAGCCTACGACAGTCTATGTGCAATGCTTTGGCTAAGTCTGAAGATGAACTACTCAAGATTACGTTTTCCAGGTCAAATATGAGTTAGTGGATAAAAAGAAATATAAAAAAACAACCCATTGCAGTAGCAGCAGCATGGCCTTGATATGAAAGAAGTGGGATACGGCAATAACATACTGAAAAACTTCTCGCAAGTGCTAATTAGCAGAGATAGTGCTCCCTCAAAGCGATGATTTCACAGCAAGATCTTTGTTTTGGCCGGATCTCATTGCCTGTATGACCTCTGCGGCACAACGTTCGCCTGCCTCCACGGCACCCTCCATATATCCACGCCAAACAGAGGCTGTTTCCGTACCAGCAAAGTGAAGGTTACGGAATGGTGTCTTCAAATATGGTCCTAGCTTGGTGTATTTCCCTGCAGCCATTGAGGGATAGCAAACACCGCGGATCCACTTCTCACCGAGCCAATCTTGCTAATATATCTACCGGTGGCTTTAGGGTGTCGACGGAAACATGTCCGGTGCACTATTACCTCATTTGACTGCGACCGATACACTCCTATCTATGATCAAAGATTCCCTCCAATCAAAGGACGAAACGCTTGTAGGGTTCATTCTGGAATCATACTTTTACTTTAAGGCAATTGCCTATAATGTCGGGTTTGATTTTTTCAACTTAGAGCGGAATCTCGATGCTCTAGAACGGTTCAGCAATGCCTCCTATTATGAGTTGCTCAAAAGTTCCAGTGTTTTCGGTTTTTTGTTCGGACAATCATTTGATCTTTTTCGTCTGATACCTCAAATCGCCAAACTGGCTCATTTGCAGCCATCAACACCAAGTGAGCCGCGGCATACTGCACCTGAGATTTTGACGGAGTTCTATCGGATCGAGAATCTGATTTTAGCATGGGGTACGAGTACATCTCCGTCCATGAAAGAACGGTCAGTGACTTCGTTGTCGGACTCCGTTACGGGGGGGTTACTTCAACAACATGCCCTCCTTATATTTCTACGAGTCGCTCTCTATGGGCCCGGTCGTCCCGTGGGCCTCTTTCTGAAGCAAATTGACCAGCTTGCCAGTGGGTTTATTGCTTTACTGCGAGATTTAGCCGAACCAAGTCTGGTGTGGACCAACCTTCTTTGGGCAACATTAATCACGGGCTCGTGTCTGCAAGGACTTCAGGATCGAGAATATGTCTCCAACACCCTACAATCTCATCAGCATAAAATGAGTACATGCCTACGCGTATTGGAAATACTCCGCTGGGTTTGGGCATACTCAGGCTCCGATCCGGAATGCTACGGTCCGCACGGGATTACGAAAGTTACCAAAATTCATGGTGTCAAATTTAGCATTGGGTAAAATCCAACAATCACCTATTCATTAATCTCGTGTGTATCTTACCCACTTGTCTGTGATCCAAAAGATGATATCTAAATATGTGTGTCCAGCATGAAAGCCACTATAGTGAAAAGTATTACAGCAGTAGTATCTGTGGATTTCATTTACCCCAAAACCTCAGTGAACGATCCCCCTGCCTTCTTCTACGGATGGGTAGACATTTCACATTTTCGACACATGACTTAAGCTTCTCTAGTAAGATTATGTGCCGCCTTGCCATAGGTTTACCAAACTGCCAAAGAATGATTTGACTTCCAGCTGCTTTTATTGTCGTTGCTCTTAAGGTTCGCATAATGAATTTTACCGTAAAGGAGATAAGCCATTTTCTGGATAGGGCCAACGCTTGATATTTCGACAGATTCAAAAGAAGCCTCGGTTTACTCCAGTCCATCTAGATTTGGAGAAATGGGCTTGGAGGAGAAGACTCTGAAACAGGGCGTTGAACGTTGAAGCTCAATGCCAAAGAATAGCAAATATAAACAGTTGAGGAAAATTGGTGAAATGGTCTTCCTACGAGCCGTTGAATTGGGAGCGGGGCGCTCAACAGAGAATCATTATGACTAAGGATTGTTTAAGTGATGGTGTCTCAACCTTCTCGTGGCGTTTACATGCTCGCTTACCGAATACGTTATCGCTTGGCGCAAAGAATCTAATCAGCCCCTCGAGTCGTAAAAGCTAGTTCGTGGATATCGATGATGCCCTACAAACCTGGACTCGTAGTTTTGCCTCACGATTTCCTATCCTGATGTCTAGCACATAGGCATCTCACAGTGGAAACCCACCTAAGTATAAGTAATCAAATATATTGTAATTTAATTGAAAGAAAAAGTTATATCTATTGTTAGTGGATACAATTTATATTCAGGAAAATCCTGGATGGTAGTCCAAGAAACTAATCATCCCAGGTAACCGACTTCGTCCACAGGAACTCATCTAGCATATTGGCTCCGAAGCGTCCATAGCCGCTGGCCTTGACCCCACCGTGCGGAAGCGCAGCTTCATCGTGAACAGTCATTGAGTTGAGATGCACGGCACTGGTGACTAGAGTGAGTAAGAAGGAAAGGAAGAGATGAAGGACCAGACATACCCAGAGTCAATTTGTCGAGCAACCCGCAAACCTCTTGCTAAGTTATTAGTATATACTGCTGCACTCAGGCCGTACTCGGTGTCGTTGGCGAGCTCAATAGCTTCTTCGTCACTGTTGACCTCGAAGAGAGACACAGTGGGACCAAAACTTTCCGTGCCGTAGATATCCATATCCTTGGTAACATTTTCCAGAATGACAGCCCTCATGCGGGTGTCGGACGTTGTGGCGGTAACTGTGTCTCCGATCAGGATCTTTCCGCCTTTGACAAGAGCATCTGTGACCAAGTTCTTATTCTTAGTAATTGCAGCCGCATTAATGGCGACCAGCTCAGTATTGGGGCCTCCCAAAATTGTCTCGAATGCCTTCTTCAACGCGAGACGAAAGTTATCAGCCACAGCGCTGTGAACAATGATACGCTCTGTGCACATGCAAACTTGACCAGCCTAGGTACTTAATCCTTAGCGAGAGGGTCTGATAGGTATCGTTAAGGGAATCCTCACGTGAATAAACGAGCCTAATACAGCGCCCATTGCCGCCTTTTCCAAATTGGCATCGTCGAGCACAATAGTTGGAGCTTTCCCTCCCAATTCTAAGATCGCCGGTTTAATATACTGGGCCGCAATGCTTGCAATCTTGCGACCCACGACCGTGCTTCCAGTAAAGCTCAACTTTTTGACGGCCGGGTGGGCGACGAGTGCCGTGGTAACTTCCTGGGCCTCTTCTGGTTGAGAGTAGACCACGTTAAGGCAGCCTTCGGGTAGCCCGGCACGTTGAAATGCGTCTCCAATAGCCCAGAAGCATTTGGGGGACAGCTCTGAGCCTTTCAGCACCACAGTGTTTCCAGCAGCGAGCGCAAGAGCAACTGCGCGAGTGCCCAAAATATATGGTGCATTCCTAATGTTGAATAAGTTGAGACGGTTTCATCTGTTTATGAAGGGCGAATACACATACCAGGGTGCAATTCCCAGAATAATGCCGTACGGCTGCTTATAGACAGCTGCGCTGGTTCCCTCCTCGGTAACGACTGGCATAGTGGCTGAGATACCAGAGACTTTGCCGGCGACATCCTTCAGAAGATTCACGCCAAGCATGAATATGAAATCCGCGTATGGAACCTGGGATCCCGTTTCGTCACACATGTAGCGGATGAAATCATCCTTCTGTGCCAGGAAGGTGTCCGCGGTCTTCAGCAAGATGTCTCGACGAACAGACGGCTTGGTCTTTGACCACGAAGGGAAGGCCTTTTGTGCCGAATCCGCAGCCTGGATGGCCTCTATCACAGTCGCCGAGCTGAATTGATGCTCGATGTAGCCTTGCCCGGGATTTGAGACATCAAACGTTTTTGAGGTCAATATATCTTTATTGCCAATAATGAGCGGGACTGTCGGGCCAAGTGCCCGGTTGTTCTGTTGCATGGTCATTGTCTTCACAACAGCCCGAAATCAATGATCGCCTTAGAATAAATTATGCCGACTTTGGGGGAACTATTTATGTGTATAGCTATTGGTAGGAAAGCGAATACAGCCATTTCTGCCGAATAATTTACCGAAAATTAGAAAGAGGAATTACAGTATCGTGGGGGCACGACGCAAATACAAAGGCGTGTATTTTAGCAATACATATCAAAACCGTACAATGGGGGTGGGAGATATGCGCGCCTCGCCTAATCTGGCTTAGCCAGCATCCCCCGCTCGCCGCATCTCCGCTTTCCCGAAGCCGGAATAGCGTGTGGTACCTAGGTAATCTGACCTCCAAGGTTAGGCGTAAGGTCCGTATTCCTACGCCTATCATGATCAGTAGGGCGAAGAGGGGTTCGTGGAACCATGGTTGGGTGTTGAAGAAGGTAAGTTGATTCAAGCAACACGTTGGGATCCACTTTCACTTGGAGACATTTTTGTTGTCACTTTCCAGATACCCTCTACATTAACACCTTGGGGGTGGACTTCTACATCGGCGCTTTGTTTTGCGATGCCATACTCAGATTGAATCAAGACGAGATTAATATAACCAAGGTGATTGATGATGGTGATGGCAAGAAAATCAATATGATTGATATTCTGCAGGTTTCTTTCTATGCAGCTCAACTCTTGATATCCTTTATGGGAAACCCGCCCATGCATATGTCGTGGCTTCGTGACAAATCATATTTTTAGGGACAAAGACTTCAAGACCACTCCTAGCATTTGGCAGGTTAGATAGGCGCGTCAATCCGAAAATGTGACTGTCGGGAGATATTCCTTAGCCCTGGCCAGCAAGCTAGTTTCATTGATAACTGATAAGCGCGGCTAGTCCGTTTGGAAGGCTTCGCCACCCGACATTCCGGGGTTGCAAAGGGTGTGGTTTCCCCAGTTCTAAAGCTTGTCAAGTTATGTCATGGGGTTGATTGGTAAATTTGGTATGCGGTCAGTACGTATGAATGTATCCATGTACCAGATCTACCCAATAACTAGTTTTCCCACCTTGGGCCTTAAAATACGCCATCCAGCCGTAGGAACTACCTCCCATATAGGTCCTCCTTTATTACAACACTTGCCTGCACCGTCAATCATGACTTAAGACATTTCCTTTGCAATAATCCTTTCTATTTCAACAAGAGCCTCAGCAAATCTTGAATCCGTTGCAATGGAACAGAACGATGCCATTGTTTCCGACAAGGCTCAGCAAACACAAAGTGCTCAGGAGCAAGAGGTCTGGCATGGGGATGTCACCTCTATCGGGAACAGAGAGCCACACTTGAGGAAGGACTTCAATTTCTTCCGCCTTCTGGCTCTAGGATACAACACTTCTAATAGTTGGTTGGCAATTGCCACCAGCCTGGCTCTCGCTGTATCCTCGGGGGGTACAGTTACCCTGCTATTTGGGATCATATGTGTGGCCTTCACAATGGGTTGCACAGGTCTCAGCATAGCGGAACTTGCCAATGTCTATCCAACAGTGGGGGGCCAATATCACTTCACCTCCATACTCTCACCCTCGCGACATAGCAGGTGGCTATCATATGCTTGTGGGTGGATAGGGGTTTGTTCTTGGATAGCCATTGCAGCGTCTGTTGGGTTAATAATCGCGCAATGCGTACTTGCAATGGCTATCTACTTTAACCCGACCTTTGATGCCAAAGAATGGCATTACTTCCTAGTGTACCAAGTGGTTCACCTCATCGCCATCGCTTTCAACGTGTTCCTGGTAAACAAGGTCGCGTGGATCTATACCTGCGGTTGTGCGCCAAACCCTTTCATTTCCTGATTAGATTATCCGCTAATTATTGTCGTTTTCCTTAAAAAAAAATAGTCATCCTCTCGCTGTCTGCTTATTTCGTGATATCAATTGTCTGTCCCGTCCGTGCTCCAGCCCATCTAGATTCAAGAGAGATTTGGACTATGTTTACCAACAGCTCTGCTGGATGGTCTGATGGGGTTTGCTTTTTGGCCGGGCTATCGACTCCGTCTTACATGCTTATCGGACTCGATTCCACTCTTCACCTTGCCGATGAATGTCATCAACCTGCTCGTATTATCCCAAAAGCAATCGTGACAACAGTTATTGTGGGGTTTGTGACTGCATTTACTTTTGCAGTAGCTTTATGTTATAGTCTGACGGATCTTGAAGCGTTATTAACCACATCCACAAAGTGAGTTTCTTAGCATCACCTATACGCCCCTTCTGGAAGCTAACTGGCGTTTCATAGCTTTCCAGTGTATATTCTATGGAAACAAGCCACTTCATCTATAATCTGCGCTACGATCTTTATGGTCGCTCTATTGGTGATTATGCTTATAGCGTTAAACGGCATGCATCAAACAGCTTCTCGCTTAACCTGGTCCTTCGCTTGTGACGATGCCTTGATTTTAGCCCGGTATTTCAACCGGATCCACCCAGATTTAGAGGTTCCGGTTAATGCATTGCTGCTAAATTACGCGGCATGCTTTCTGCTGGGTATTCTCTATCTCGTGTCAAGCTCAGGTAAAGTCACCTCAGCTAATGATCCTTCTTTCAAATCGTTTAATTTAATACATTCCCTCCCTCCAGCCTTTAATGCGTTCATCGGAACCAGTATTATCCTTTCTACGGTGTCAATTGGGATACCAATTTCTCTTCTCCTTTACCAGGGCCGTAGCGCAGAATACCTACCGGCAACCCGCACCTTTCGTCTTCCGTCTCCTATCGGATTCTTCTGTAATTCGATTGCAGTCGTATGGTCTATTATTGTGACAATTTTCTTCTGCTTCCCCACTGCCTTTCCTGTGACAGCCTCGAATATGAGTAAGTCTATTCAGTAACGCACGCTTTACATCCTCCGCTAACTTAGCTAAGATTATGCATCCGCCGTACTGGGCATAGTTTTGATGCTAGGTGTGCTAAACTGGTTTCTTTCCGCCAGAACGGAATATCAGGGACCTCGATTGGAGATTGTTGGGTCGATTGGAGATTGTTGAGTGATAATACTGTTGAAGTCTTGTGTTTGTCCATGTAAAGCTAGTGTGGCAAAGTTCTACTGTACCTACCAAGTGTTGATCGACATACGAGTTAAGTTGCGTATTTAAAGCTCAGTGGAGATAGATTATGGTGTCCATGATTTCAAGGTGTAAACTATGGATTGTGATCACTATCGCGATAGTGCGAATAGTGTGAGCAATCTGCGGACTGGACTGTTTTTCGTGATACAGTAGCACACCCCGCTGGGTCTTCTTCCACTTTCACCCCTAGTTACGGGACCTTTTGCCAGTATAGTAATGCAAGAGTTGACTACCCCTCCGCGAACATGGCAATAACTGCCCTACTAAATTAGGTACTGCAAATGGGGCGATGTGCCTCTACAGGCATCCATCAATTATGGTCCCTTCAGCTCCAATCACAGCTGGCCTAGCCCCGAATATTGGGAAACCTGAAACCAGTGCCCCTTTCAGAATGTATACTAGCTCTTGAACGATGAGTTAACCATCTGCTAAACAATCTATGTAAAGTTGAGGTGGACCCCATTTCGCTAATCACTATAATAATTATGCCAGGTGATCCAGCGAAATTCAAGCGTGGCTGGCCTTCCTAAGGGCATCGCAACAGTTCCAAATCCATACGTCAAGAGGGCAGCCTAATGGAGAGATCGGCAGTGGGGCGACGGTCCTCGGCGAGGCTCTCAATTTGTTATATGGAAGTGGTAAAGGAAGAGAAGTGCCCGAAATCTGCGGCTGCGGATAAGGAGCTGCTTTATATCTGAGAAGCTTTCCGTTCCTATAACCTTGCTGGCTAGATGGTGATAGAATAACTGGTCCTTGAAAATAGACCAGAGTAGGTGATATCAAGATACAGGATGATATCTTTTTACCTTGTAAACATGTGACTTTGTCACTATGTATTTTACTTACTAATTGTGTCTGGCCAGATTGTTGAATGCAGACCATTGTTGGTTTTAGTTAGAGAATTGTACCATCGTGAATTTACCAGCACGCTCGCCATACACCTGATTTCTATCACCTCCGCTCGCTTCACTTCGTCGCTCGCTTGCGATGAAGCCTTGGTATTCTCCCACCTTTCGAAAAGTGTTCACCCTACTATTAAGGATCCGGTCAATACCTTGCTGCTCAACTACGTAGGATGCTTTCTTCCAGGAATTTTATACTTGGCGTCAACATTAGGTATGGATGTCCCTATACAGACGAGCCTTAGTAAATTGAATTTTTCTAACACGCCTCTCTCCCTAGCCTTCAATGCTTTCATTAGGACCAGCATTGTCCTTTCTACTGTCTTTATTGCTATACTAATTGCTCTCCTCTCTTACCAGAGGCGGAGCGCAGATTTCCTGCCTGTCACCCGAACCTTCTGTCTTCCGATAACTGCCCATATAATTGCAATATCGTCGCAATTACATGGGCAGTCATTATGACGGTTTTCTTTTCCTTCCCTACAGAACTACCTGCGACAGGGTCGAATATGAGTACAGTTCTACACCTTGTTTAAGCCCCGTGTGTCGCTAGATTTCTTTAGATTATGCGACTGCCGTACTTCGTATCATTTCCTACTAGCTACCTTGAACTGGATCATCTCGGCTAGGAAGAAGTATCAAGGGCCTCGGTCAGAGTTCATCCAGTGAAGGTCGTACACAAAAGCCATGTCGTTTAATAGGTCATCAAAGGGTATTAGTAGCAATTGTAATCCTTTCACCGCCACTACCGGCCCTCCAATGTCAGTTCAGACCATCCGAGTCTATGGCAGGCCCAGTATATAGTACAGCGTTTCATACCTGCTGCCTGACAATCAAGGGTCTGCGTGTATGTGTTACTACCTTTAATGAGGCCAACTCCAACCTATAGCTGTAACAAAGAAAGGCAATCAGTTTGAAATCTGGTGAAGTTTAAAACCATCTAGACTTGTTTGCCTGAAGAAGCTAGAACTATTAATTATGTCAGAGTACTCCTAAGGCATAGTCTAAGTGCTAGCAATGAATACCATCTTATCTTGGGTAACACAAAAGAAAATAAAATATCATTGAAACCTAGAACGGTCGATGGACCAACATGTAGCGCAGAGATGTGATCAGAATCAGACAGATCCTTTAAGTCTAGGTACATCTACGTGCTCGTCATCCAGGTACCATGCGTGAAAATCGCCAGTTCTTTCAGCTTGTGTCCAGCCGTCCCCTAGCCATCCTGTTTCATTGCCGTCACTGTATTCATATTCAAAATCTTCCCATTGAGGCTGCGAAAGGGCCTTTAAGGCGTGTGGAGCGGACCCTACCAAGATTGTTATTACCGATTGGATGTAACGTTAGAATGATAGACTTACCTGGCCAAAGAGCAACGACTCTGCCATCTTCACTTCCCCCTTTATACCAACTCCTGCATTTCGTCCGGAAGACCGTGGTTTCAAAATACTTGTCTGCGAATTTCGTGAAAGCTTCGACAGCCGACTTCCGCGGTGTCATGACTCGGATATTCTCTCGCTGCATCTTTGCAATGCAAGCAGTGATGTAATCAACTTGCTTCTCGATCAAAAGAAGCAAGCTGCCAACCAGTGTTCCATTGGGGCCCAAAGTTACAAAGTAGTTCGGAAACTGGTCTGTCATCATCGAGAGATAGGTATTTGGGTTCTTCTTCCACTTTTCGGAAAGTGGCATGCCATTGCGGCCAAGTAACGGGAATCGAGGTTGGAATGTCGTGTTGAATCCAGTTGCACAGACAATCGCGTCAACCTCACGATGAACGCCGTCTTTGGTGATGATCCCATTCTCGGTGATGCTGCCGATAGCCTCTGAGATCACATTGACCTTAGGGCTCACTAGAGCCTCTAGATAACCTGGGCCAGGTGTTAATCTCCGGCACGCCGGAGCAAAACCAGGGATCATAGAACTGGCAAGCTCAGGCTTAGCTGCCAGACGCTCCTGCATATGCTTTGTGAATTTCGGAATAGACGCTTGCTGCGCCGGGGTGTTCAGAACAGTAACTGCTTGGATTCCAAGGATTTCTCGTTCAATGTCTGCAATCGGTTTTTGTTAACTGAGATCGAGGTTCCCCACATTACTGAATTACCTTTCCTAAACGCCCGGTAGGCTTCGGGATTCGTTTGAAAATGAGCCAATTGCTCTTCGCTGAATGAGACTAAAAAAATGCGGGATTAGCATCGAGAAGAGAAGTGTATATCTGGAATTCAGGCCGTTTTACATTTATTTTTCTCATTCAGACCTAGCTTTGCAATAGTTTCCGAGCCAAGAGGGGGTGCAATCCAGGTCTTGCCACGAATATAATGGTCGATACGAGCCGACCTGGGGAGCATCGCAGGTACAAGCTGAATCCCGCTTGAGCCATTGCCGATAATGGCAATAGATTTGTTCTATATGTAAATGAGCAAATGGATCTTGCCAAAAGTTTCGAATCACTACGATAAACGTACCTCCCAGTCAAAGCTCTCATCCCAGGATGCACTATGCAGAAGCTTGCCTTTAAACTCATGGATACCAGGGATATCCGGCCACATCCAGGCATTCAGTGGGCCTGTGCATGACAGCAATATGTCCCCAGAATCGGAGAAGATTTCATCGCTCTCTGTGTTTCTCACCTACCAAGGTCAATTAGGAATGCCCAGTGAGCTACAAAGAACGAAAAAGACAACATACTTTCACTTCCCACTTTGCTCTGCTCTCATCCCAGGTTGCCCCAACGACTTCATGGCATAACTTGATATGATGTTCACATTCATATTTAGCAGCAACAGCTTTCCAGTACTGATGGATCTCTTTTGCAGATGCATAAAATTCGGACCAATTGTGGTTAGGCTCAAACGTAGCCTGGTATACATGTGCGGGGATGTCGCAGGCGCAACCTGGATAACGATTCTCATACCAGGTTCCTCCAATATCGGCATTTTTTTCGTAGATCTGGATAGTCACGTTTGGAAGACGCTGGGTAAGTCTGATCGAAGAAACCAAACCAGAGATTCCGGCACCAATAATCACTACTCGAAGAGGACGCGAATGGTCGATAGGGTGCTCCATGGTTGTCAAAAGAAAGTAAGAACGAGGAGCTCAACGAAAAGGAATGGGCGGCATGTTGCTTTCTATATACAACTAGAGAGCCCCAGAAACACACATTTGCCGTGTAGTTGAGCCGAAGAGGATTTACATTTACGAAATATGGATTATGCGGAAATATGAGCTACGCAATTTGTCATTCTATATTATAAATGCTGCTTGCCTCTAGTCTGTCTTCGGGTCTGTTAACCCCGCTTATCAATTTTTTCTTTTTGTCATTGGCCACAACGTATTTGGTCCGTATATATCGTGAATCGTGGAAAGCAATGGGTCGGGTCCAAGTTATATGTTGCCTATTTCAACTAACCGTGCTTATCGAATTGAGATAATGCTACTGGGTGTATTCGTGATTCCCGTTGAAACAGCCACTTATAGTGATATTGTCACAGAGCTATTCAAGTTTCTGACTGTGGGTCTTCTCAAGTCAATGAGAAGATGCAATACCATGGCTGCTCCCTTCGGTTCTGTTGTGTCGGAGCATGACGACCGGCATACCGGGGTAGCTACGTAGTAATCATGTGATGCTCAGTGAGCGGGCGGGTCTTATGATTACGTAATTCTCAGGGGCGTGCTCAGTTTTACTCAGTGAGCAAAAAGCGGCAAGGGGTGAGCACTAAAACGGAAAGGGAAATCCAACTTGCCCGGCCTAAAATCCGGTGTATATGAGAGAATACTAGCGTAACAATCGGAATAACTCCAAATATAGACTAGCGCTTCTTGGCAGTGGGGCTAAATAATCACTTAAAGAGTGTAGGCGGTTGCACCAGTTTCGGGACGTACTGTACTTGATTATGATTGCATAGCGACTGTACCATTCGGGACTGTATCTACCCGCGCGAATATTGCTGTACACGCTTCTAACGAGTGCCGGTGGTGACACCAGTTTCGGGAAGTACTGTACCACTAGGTGAGGAGGTATAGCATTTAAATCCGCGATTTGTCCAAGAAATGTCGGGACGGGCCGAGACGCGAACCCCTGAACCGCCCGACCGCGACGAACACGAAAAGTCACCGCCACGATTATCGAGACCGAGACGCACTACTAGACCGCCTAAAAACTATAGCTAAGATCAAGAGATCGATATCTAATAGAGAAACGCGCGCTCCTAGCGGAAGAATGAGGCCTAGGGTAAGCCTATAGCCTAATATAAAGCGGTAACTTTAGACGATGCCTTAACCGAGAGCGACGACCTAGACGTCGCCGACCTAGTAAAAGAGCTTGTAAAACTTAGGAGAGATATTAAACGGCGAGATAGTTTATATAGAGAAGAGATATAGAAAGTATAAGAAGAACTATAGAAAGTTAAGGAAGAATTTAGCGCCGCCCTTATAGAAGTTCGATACGAGCTATAGACCCTAATAGATAGACCTCTTATACTATAACCCCTTTCCGAACTATACCCCTAGAACGGTCACGATAAGATCCTTCGCGAAATCTAATCCTTACGTATTATAATTAGTCCTATAGACCTTACTATAGGATCCCCTTCTTATATAGATATTATCCGTACCCCCCTAACTAGCTACCTAAGTAATATACGGACTCTCTTATCGTCGAATATAATACTAACTACCTTTACCGATACGTTATATTATACGATAGATACTTTAAGGATAGTAAATAACGAAAGTAAGAAGATATCTATAAGTCTAATCCGGGCGGCGGTTAAAATAGAGATCTAAATAATAGAAAAGTATACGTACTAGCGCTATCGCGCTATTATAGTAGATCCGAAAAATATAAATAGGATTAGAATAGTATATCGCGATAAAGCTAAATACTAACTAGTTAAGAAAGTAGCGGAAGTAAAGATCGGCGAAAGAGCCCGAGTACTTTATAATAAGCTTTACCCGATTAAAGTCGATAGCGTTAATAGGGCTATAGTTCTTAACGAAAAAGATAAGATCCGAGCTAGAGCTATAGTAGCCTTTAGTAAGGAGAACGAAGTTACTATTACTAAGATCGCGTAGCTTAGTAGAAAGGAAAGCGTAAAGGCCTATAGGTCAATAGTTATTTACCTAACTAGATATACTAATACGCGGAGGCTTCTCGCTAATAGATTCTTCTATATTAGGGGAGAATCCGGTGTAACTAGTACCTTTAAATATCGCCTATAACTAATATAATATTATAATTATTAGGAGATTAGATATAAAGTATTCTAGTATAAGAACGTCTAGAAGTATATAAGATACGCTATAGAGGGCTATCGCTATAGTAACTATAACTAAACGGTTCTAAAGTATATTCTATATAGAGGCCTATATAAATTATATAGTAAGAATTACTAGAAGCTCTATCTATCGCGTTATAAGTAAAACCTTCTATATTATCTAACTAAATATAAGAAAATAGGGCGTGGTATATAATAGCTTAATAAATAATAAATAAACCTAAGATATAGTAGTATTAGTGATCTAAAAATCTTAAGTAAGGAGAATCTATAGTAGGCTCTTAATAATCCTAATAGGATATTATAAGTAGATAAAAATAGTTCCCTCTACCTAAAGGGAAGATAGATAGGCGATCCGAAGTATACTTTAGGTTAATAAAGATATAAAAGCGGAGTAAGTAGCTATAGAATCCCTAGACCTAATAGTAGTAGTTATCCGACTCCTTAAGCGACTAATTTTTATAGTATTAGTTTACGTTAAAGGGGGAGATACTTTAGCGTTAGTTAACGTATATAATTATCTAAAAAAGGTAATTATAAAGGTATAGTAAGATATAGGCGCTATAGTAGAGGTTATAATTATAGAAGACTTTAACCGCTATAACTAACTCTAGAGAGGAGATAAGATATCCCTAGAAAGATAGGGCGAAGTAGATCTAATTATTAACCTTATAAATAAGTTTATTTTTAGTAGCTTACTTAAATAAGATATAAAGATATAGTATAGTAGTAGATAGAGTAGGGACTATAAGTCGACTATCGACCTTATCTTAGTCTTTAATAATTTAATAGACTTAATAATTAAGTATACGATATATAGGATAGAGTATAGCTTAGACTACTATACTATTAAGACTATATTCGATATACTATAGTTAGCCCTAAAGTATTAGAAACGACTTCTATTAAAGAATATACTATAGAAAGAGATTAATACTAGAATTATAAGTACTCTAACTACTACTCTATTAAAAGATATAATATAATAGAAGACTAACCGACTTATAATAGTAGTTAGCGAGGTAGTATATACTTTAACTCCTAAGATAAAACTATTACTATACGCGAAACGATAGTAGATAGCCGATCTAATATAGCTATACTATATATATATATACTAGCGAAATTATACTCGCTTAGAGTACTAGATAAGGTAAAAAGTACTATATCTAGAAAAGATAGCCTAAAATATAGCGAAATAATACTATAATACTATCTATAAATAAAAGAAGTAGTACTAGAATAAGTTTTTTATAGATAATAATAATATCTAGAAAGCCGCTAAATACCTAAAGTTAGGAGAGGATATAGTATTTAGGAAGCTACTATATAAGTTCTTTCCCTCTTTATCTAACGTTATTAATAATAAGGGGACTAGACTATAAAGAGAGCTAGTAGAAATACCTACTATCGGCCTAAAGGAGGTAGAATAATAGCTTTTTATAGCGAAATTATAAAAGGCGCTAGGCGAAGATAGTCTATTAATAATAGTCTAGAAGATAATATAGCCTATAGTTAAATATAGGGTTCTCGACTTATTCTAGGTATTACTAGAAGAAGGTATATTACTAAAATAATAGAGATATATAAAGATTATACCGCTTAAAAAGCTAAATAAGGAAAACTATATTATTATAAAGGTATAGAGGCTAATTTCGCTCTTTATAACGCTAGGTAAAATACTAGAATCTATAGTTATAGAAAGGATCTTATACGCGGTAAAGATATATAGCTTACCCCTAACTAGCTATTTTAGAGCCTAAAAGTAATAGTCTATAGAGTAAGCGCTTATACTCCTATAAGAGTAGATCTATATAGTATAGTATAGCCGATAGATATTAAGTTTAATTAGCTTTAATATTAAAGGCGCCTATAATAGGGTATATAAAGAACGACTACTCTAAAGAATAAAAACGTAAGGTATACTAGTTAACCTAATCTGGTAGATAGAAGCGTTCTACTCGGAACGAATAGTGATTATCTAAATTAATAGGTAAGTATTAAAGGCCTAGGGCCTTCTATAGGCTAGCCTATCTTAAGGCTCGCCCTTATCCCCGATTCTATTCCTCTTCTTTAATATAGATCTTATATAAAGATAGATTAATAACTAGGGCGGAGCGATAGCGTTTATAGACGATTTTACTATATAGGTAACTAGGCTAATAGCCTAGAGTAACTAGGAAGGTATTAAAGTAATTATTAATAAAACGCTTAACTAGGAAATACGAAGCGGAGCGACTTTTAAAGTAGATAAAATAGCTATTATATACTTTACTCCTAAGGCTTATAAATTAGACTAGGGACCTTTTACTATTAAAGGATAAACTGTTACGCCTAAGGATTATATTAAGATCTTAGGCGTCCTTATAGATATAAAACTTAAGTATAAGGAATATATTATAAGGGTAGTATCTAAAGGCCTAGAAGCCGCGATAGAGCTTCGAAGACTTTAGGGTTTATCTCTAGCGATAACGCGGTAGCTATTTATATTAATAGTAGCGCCGGTTATAGACTACGCGTCTAATATCTAGATATACGCGTATAAGGATAAGGCTATAGGGCCGATTAACTATATCTAAAGGGTAGGAGCGTAGTGTTACGCACTATAAACTGGTTATAGTTAGGGTTAGTGGATCACGGGTTATACTCACCGGGTTTAACTGATCTTCTAACGTTAACGATCTGTCTCTTAACCGTACTATTGCTAATAGGCCTTACTATAGGTTAGGTCCTCTTGAGGGTATCGAGGAACGGTGCTAGGTAGAGCGCTTAGTGGGTCTATACCGGGGT